CAGGGCATACAGGCAGTCGGGAACATGGCACACGCGCAGGGCATACAGACACTTGGTAACATGACACACACGTGCAGGGCTAACAGGCAATACGGAACAGGATACAAATGCGCAGGTCATACAGGCACTCGGTATCATGGCACGCACGCGCAGTGCATACATGCACGTGGTAACATATTACACACGCGCATGGCATACAGGCACTCGGGTACATGGCACACGTGCAGGGCATACAGGCACTCGGTAACATAGCACACGTACAGGGCATACAGACACTCGGTAACCTGGCACACATTTCTAGGGCATACAGACGCTCGGTAGCATGACACACACGTGCAGGGCTAACAGGCAATACGGAACATGACACAAATGCGCAGGTCATACATGCACTCGGTAACATGGCACGCACGCGCAGGGCATACAGGCACTCAGGTACATGGCACACGTGCAGGGCATACAGCCACTCGGGTACATGGCTTGCACACAATCAGGGCATACAGACACTCGGTGACATAGCACACGTGCAGGGCATACAGGCACTCAGGTACATGGCACACGTGCAGGGCATACAGCCACTCGGGTACATGGCTTGCACACAATCAGGGCATACAGACACTCGGTAACATAGCACACGTGCAGGGCATACGGGCACTCGGTAACATGGCACACACGTGCAGGACATACAGACACTCGGTAGCCAGGCACACATTTCCAGGGTACACTCACATGCAGTGTATGGAAGGGTAGAACCTATCAAGGACTCATACAGCAGGCTCTTGACCATGTGATTTGAAATTACAAAACGTATCCACAATGCTAAATGCAGCCCACCTAACTATTGGTTGGTTGGTTGGTTGTTTAATGCCGCACTCAGCAATATTCCAGCTGTATGACGGCGGTCTGTAAATAATCGATTATGGATCAGACCATCCAGTGATTGACAATTGTCATTGGTTTTATAGATATTTCCACATTTGGTAGCCTGTTCAAGTGGCAGTATGGGCGCAAAATATATTACTAACAATCCAAACGTAATATGCATGTAACTGTTTACTCATGTGTTTACTGTATTTCAAATTACACAACGAAACATAAATAAATCTGAAATCTTTTACGTTCTCTTCAACACATACTCGAAATCTAACTGAGGCTCGTTGTGTGCCATCCTCGGTTGTCCAGTATATTACATGTCCATTCTATTAAGGCAAATACGCTGGGCTAGGTCTGGGACGAGTCCGAATTTACTACCCGGGTTCCCACTGTAGGTCTGAAGAGATAGTTACAAAATGTCCGATTGGGCATTTTTGTACCATAGCACTGGCAAAACGTATTTAGATACATGTGTTAAACACTCTAATCATGCATACACTGAAGTTGACTCAAGTTTTATCTTTATTCAAAGATGTGAAAAGTCATAAGAAATGGGTGCATAGTCAGAAAGAAATGCGAACATTTGTGACTTGTAGTGTAACCATAGAGTTCTAGATATTTTTTGTCATTAAACAATATATCACATGACCAACCACGGGTCCGGGTGGTCCTGTGGGTACCCGGGTCCAATTCACTACCCATCCGACCCGAGTACCCGAGTTACCCGTCCCAGCCCCAGCTCCGAAATCGAAATCCGGTTCGTAAACTGTCATGCAGATTTCAGTCGATTGCAGGATTTGCTAAGCATGTGCACCGCTAACTCGTTGTGAACAGATATTTTCTAAATCTTTTCATGTTTTTAATCAAGGTGCTCACGTGATTTGATGCACTTCGCGATGTAAAACAATATATATATCTTGATTATCGACCAGATCGTCTTGACTGGGCGCTGCCGTTTTGTTTGAAGCAAATGCAAATAATACGAGAGGTTGAATCTGATTTGTCCATAGGAGAGGCATAGAAGGGACATAACTCGTCATGGTAACTGGACTTTTAAAGTCAGTTAACACCCTTGCCTCGGGAAGGTGGAGGCGACTGACGGGATCAGGTAGTCATGCAGGCTCGCAGACTTGGTTGATGCATGTCATTGTATCCCAAATGCGTGGCTCGATGCTCATGATGTCAATCACTGCATGGATTGTCTTGTCCAGACTCGATCATTTACAGAAAGCCGTTATATAGCTGGAATAGTGCGGCGTTAAACAACAAACAAACAAACAAACAAATCGTTTTCAGAAAATGATTTTCTTCCAAGACAAGACATACCAATGCATAGAGCCTTTTCTTGATGTTCTGTGACGTGATTTGGCTGGAACCCAGATCTAGGTAGAACAAAACTAAACTCCCTCACTCATTTTTAGAAAAATACATACCCGGAGGATGTCTCATCCTGCATAAATTATCTCGCTATCAAGACAAAAAAAGAAAGAATATAAAGTAAATGGTATTTGTTCATGAATTAATCAACGGCCTTGTCAAAAAATCATTATCTGACATGTCGCAGGTTTATTCTGCTTATTGCATTCAATAATAATGTTGTTTTTACCTGAGCCTCAGGTGATTACAAAACGTGCCGATGGCGTTTTCGGTGGTTAGAGGGGACAGCTGAAAATATCGAATTGTAAAATTATTGTTTTTCTTCCATTACAAGGAAACAATTGAATACGACTCTTACAACGGTTTGCAATCAGTGTCCTATTGGGGAAGTTCACTGCTGCCAATTCCTGTCTTTAGCTTGGTACATGTCACGTTGAATGTATGGAATTTCAAGAACACATTTGGCATCAAGATCAAAGATTATAACATTACATAACCCCCAAAATATAACGTTATGATGTGAGTGAGTGAGTTGGGTTTGGTTTAACGCCGCTTTTAACAGTATTACAGTTATATCGTGGCGTGTCAGCTTTATGTCGGAGGAAAGTATAATAAACGCTTCATTATTTAAACATACAAGAGACCCGTGCACATGCACAGTGCAAATGTGTTTCCACAATCTTACATTAGCTTGTTAGAGTTAACCATCTATAGAAACACAGACTATCTAGAATATATCACACACATATTTATAATATAGGACCAAGTGTATCAAATAATAAAATGTTTCTTACCTTAATAAGAAGAAGAGGAACGATTACAGTCAAGCAGTTTACTGTCAGTGGTGTTGTGTACTGACCAGTAGAGATGCTTGACTTTTATAGTAATCGCCTCGTATATTTTGACTTTGAGTGATTCCCTAGTCAGTGAATTGTGCATTGTCTTCATCTAATTCTTGACCGACGATACGTCACGAGGTAGTGATGCTGTATTATTACATAATATTAACTTCTACACCGATGCGACTGCGGCCTCTGGACAATAGAATTCACTGAGCGCGATGGGTTTGATGGATACGTCCATCTTACATCACTGTAGCCTGCTATGTAGCTGTCAGTGTTCAGTGTGACACGTGAACGTCTACAAGATTTAATTGCTTGTTGATATGTTGGAGGTAATGAAACCTTTATGAATATTTTAATCCCATTTATATTTAGTTAATAATTATATCAGAAAACGCTAATATTTACATAACACATTGGAACAATAGTGAGTGTATTTTACACTGGTATAATTGCCCGAAGTGATGCAGGTCTCAGATGTTTACCACTTCGGTGAAACCCACGAGCACGGGTATGGTGCCGACAAACCTAGAAACATAATTGGGGCGAACCGGGATTCGAACCCACAATCATAGGCGTGCCCAAGGGAAGCAACTCTTCACAACGAGTCGCGGTAAATTGTATTGTAAATGCTGAGAGTGTGTGTGACGCAATCCAAATGGTACAAAAACGTTGTTAAATGCATGATAATCTTGTAGATGTATCTCAATATTCCAGCTATATCACGGCGGTCTGTAATATACGAGCGTGGACCAGTCAATCCAGTGATTGGCGTCAAGAGCATATCGATCTACCCAGTTGGGATACGATGACATGCATCCAGCAAAACAGCAAGCCTGACCACCCGATCCAGTTAATAGCCTCTAACTACAAGAATAGTCGCCTCTCACAAGCATGGGTTGCTAAAGATCCACTTTTTGGAGGGGTTCTTTTTAGGAGTAGTAAGACCTTAATTTTATTGGGGATGGGGTACAAAGGTAAGACCAACGGTCATACGCACGTGGTGTGAATTTCCCACCTATCTACCCGACGTATTACTACTTCCAGATCGAATACGACGTCGGGTACCGACGTATAAACATGATGTTTGAGAGAGAGAGAGAGAGAGAGAGAGAGAGAGAGAGAGAGAGAGAGAGAGAGAGAGAGAGAGAGAGAATAATGTTTATTATAGTGTCACATGTTATATACACTTCATACTAAAACACTTACACAAACAATAAAATATAACATCCGACCAGGTATTGCCTACGCGACACTTAGACATAAAAGCAAATTATAACGTCATGATCTGGATAAAGTAAATTAAGACATATACTAACACAATGTTTAAAGTTAGGATTGGGTTATGAACACGCACGCACGCACGCACGCACGCACGCACACGCACCCCAAATTACAAATTACTTATAAAGCCACGCACGCAATAATACACAAACACGTAGACACCCACACACCCACCCCACCCACACCACACACCATACCACACACAAACACACGCACGCACGCACGCACGCACACACACACACACGTACTTAACATGCATTGCATGTGCGCCAACCGGTGAGCGTCACAAGTCATGCGGTCAGTGAACCCTTGTCAGCATCGCCAGCCCCGAAGGCTCCCTGGGAAAACACTGGCCGGGTTACAGTTCTTTAACATGATGTTTTATGTGGTTCCAGACTCGATTCACGTCATGGAATTTCCATATGAAAAAATCTTGACTTTTAACCAGTAAACAATCAACGTTAGATGCGAATTAATTTATACTGTTCAAACGTAATTTTACGGTCGCTTTATCACAAAGTGAAGATAGAAAAGAACGGTAGGTTAGGAGTGTTACCGCTAAACTGAATTCCCACTTTTGAAAGACACCCAAACAAGAGTTACCCCGCTTTAATCAGAGGTCGCCAGCTGGTTGTTGGCTGACGAAATAATGTCAGAGTTTACAGTCAGCTGATCGCGCATATAAACTGATTCAACGCAGGATCTGAGCATTTATGAAAAATACAGACAAACAGGAAAAGACGACAAATCTTTGGGATGCTAAGAATTTGATTAAGAAGAATTCTTCTCCCACACTAGATCTAGATCTATTGTCTTCAAACGGATCCAAGAAATGTCAAATCAAGCTGCCAAAAATATTCACGAGGATGACGGTAGGAAATTGGAAACTTATTAATGAAATCTATCCGCGTTATTACTTAAATGCAATTGGAAGTATCGTACATCACGAGTATGATATTGATAACAAGTCACGTAGCAAAAAACACCAATAGTCTAAATTAATATAAATAAAATATTTATAAGAGAGTTGTGATAATTTCATGTGTGGATAAATATTATAAACATCAGTATTATATCAACCATGAATATGCGTCTGAAGGAACACAAAAATTAGAAAATGTATCTTTTTATCTTCTCAAAATATGTGCAATAGTGGGTCTATAACAGCCTTAAAGAGCTATTAAAATAAGATCCACTGATACACAAGAGTCTACAGACTCAAACTTCATATCTTTCAGTCAAGCCGTGAATACCTAGACCAGGTTTATGTCGTTGAATGATATATATATGTATATATACTTGAAAGCCTAAGAGGGCTTGTGAGCAAGCTAAATCACCTCTCACAAGAATGGGTTGCTAAAGATCAAGGCGACTATTCTTGTTGTAAGAGGCGACTAACAGGATCGGGTGGTGAAACTCGCTGACTTGGTTGATGCATGTTATCATATCCCAATTGCAGCGAATGATGCTCTTGATGTCAATCACTAGATTGTCTGTTCCAGACTGGATTATTTACAGACCGTGGTCATATAGCTGGAATACTGCTGAATGCAGCATTAAACAACAAACAAACAAACAATTAACACCATTCATTCACTGTTGACTGATAGTCTGTAACTAGTTGGTTATTCTCTAATTACTCTGAGCCTGTCTCTCACAGAATTACAACATCTTGACATCGGCACGAAATGGACCAGTCTTTGAAATAATTTTTAAACCCAACAAGACAGTTGGGCATGTGACCGATCAAAGTTACCTGCCCGCAGTCAGACATTATGAATATTAAAAAGTCACAAAAAATAAGAGACAAATCACATGTTGAAATATACAAACAATTACTTGAGAATCTACAAGGAGTTATATACATTCAGAGACCATATAATATATTATATGGTCTCTGATACATTCTGCTATATGTACAAAAGTTACGATATGCAAGATGTGGTACTTTTGTTCATTATTCACTGCAGTAGAGTCCATGTATGCACAATGCCTGTATTCAATCAATAGTAAATATACATGATACACAACATGCACAAGTTGAAAGGCCACACCAGGTCATCACAGACACAATTGTTATGCTATTGGGTTTCACGAATTCTTCATGCATATTTGTACGAAAGCAACTAAAAAATAATCATGGTAACTGGGTTATGGTTATTTATTTTGCATATTTTACGCATACCGTATTCGATGTAATAAGCGCCCAGGGCGCACTCAAAATTAGAAATAGGGGGCTCTTACTAGAACATAATTTTGGAGAAAGAGTTGAAAGATCGTAAATTTCGTGGTTTATGGTGACAGCCTGAAAAGATACAAAGGAAAAGTCTGTGCGTATTATACACGACAGATATATTTTCCAGAATTTAATTGCCCATAATTAAGGGTGCATAAAACACACGAGTGCGTATTATACTCAAATAAATAAGTGTTCATTGATAAATCAGAAGGGGTGCTAATTGGGATTGTTCATCAGCAATATATTATTAGTATACGGTGTCATATTAGGATAGCAGGAAAATATTGGGCTAAAGACACCATACCAAATTTATTATGATGAAAAATTTACACTATTTGGTATCTTTGTCGCGCATGTCATGTCAAAATGAAAACTTGACACTTACAACCGGTATAAATGACAGGACCAGTACATATGTTTCCGATACAACGTCTAATGTAAAGATAAATGTTAACAATGGAACATATAATGCACTAAATGTGAACGTTTAAAGTACTATAGCTAAATTGGATAGAATTATCATAAAAATGCCCGCATGTTAACAGAAATCTGTGGGCCACTGTAACTTGATAGCAGTCCGCTATCCCCTAACGACGGGCTGCTATCTATTGTATTGCTATGTCACATCATTGGCGTCACGTCACTTGTTTGTGACGTCATCCTATAGTATGTTCTATGACATTGCTATTTGTAACTCAGTGACCTCCGTTGTAAGCTTTTTCTCTCTATAATTTTTATAAATAAAGTCACGTGGTTTCTTTCATTAATAATGTCTTTGCTCGTCACAATTAATGATGTTAAAACACAAAACAGTGTCGAATAACAAATTTCTGTACCAGAATGTGAGCTGGATGTTGGAAAATTCAAAATGGCTGTTACTGGCGGTAAATGGTCTCATATTAGGTCAGTTACAACCATCTTGGATTTTTACTGACGGTATACAGGCTCATGTGGGGTGATTAGTTCTACTCTCTGATTGGTCAATCTCACTTTGAGGTATAATAATAGCAAATATTGCTGTAGGCGCTTGTTAGAGCGAGGCGCTTATTACGTCAAATACGGTATGTGCAACTTATGTATTTGTGTTTTGTTAGAGAAAGGATACTTTTGGGTAACTGCTTCAGAACACGCATTTTCTTCCTATCAACAATGAGCTGAACAATTTTTAATTTATTTTTGTTCACAACACATATAGTCTGTCCTTCAGGCAAGTCTAATTTGTATTGAAGTTTTACTTATTGTTCGGGAAGGTCGTGTAGCCTACTGGTTAAAGCGTTTGCTCATCACGCCGAAGATCCGGGTTTGATTTCCGACGTGGGTACCATGTGTGAAGCCCATTTCCGGTGTCCCCCGCAGTGATATTGCTGGAATATTGCTTAAACCGTACTCACTCACCCACTCACTTATTGTTCATATTGTATAAAAAAATGTATTTTTTTGCGATCTTGAAACTTCTCTCATTTGCCAAATGTTTTACAACCTTTATGTATTAACTGATGTATTCTTGTCTCATGATATTGTAGGTCTGGAAGTCTTTTGGTAGTGCTTGATGATTATCTCACATGCCACCATGTCGTATGGATAGGTAGCTGGACACAATCAGTTTGTAACACAAAATGGGTAGTATCTTTATATGCACACTGCCTGGCTTGGCTTTGTAGAGGAATCTGCAGAGTGTGCGGCAATGCAGTGATTTCGTCATGGAGACAAATTGACCATTACCTCTTAAAATTGTGGTTTGACCTGAAACAGCTGTGTATTATTAATTTATATCATGCTGATGCTGTATCTAAGTTAATGGACCATGACCGATGCATTGAGCATCAGCCGCAATGCCGCAATTTGTGAAGTAAAGGGCAATATTAACAAGTGCATAGATGAACATTCTGCTGGGTCAGCATTATGACAGCAAGACTTGCTACATCTGGAACACTGGTTGACAATGGCTGAGTAACAATGGTTGACAAGCAATGGCTGGTGAACAATATTTGCAAAAAGCATTGCTGACGAAAAATGGTTGATGAACAATTGGTGACAAATAATGGCTGATGAACAATATTTGCAAAAGCATCGCTGACAAAAAATGGCTGACAAACAATGGCTGATGAAAAATACTTGAAGAAACATTGCTGACAAAGCATTGTTGACTAAATATGGCTGACTTACAGTGGCTGATCTCATCAGACTTATATGTTTAGTTCTCATTACGGTTTGTTTGTTTGGTTATTTGTTGTTTAATATCGCACTCGGCAATAGTCCAGCTATATGCCGGCGGTCTGTAAATAAACAAGTCTGTGGAAGAAGTATTAGAAATTGTAAGTAATTATGATTGGAAATGATAAAATCAACCTACATAAACTCATTTTGGTTTGTTTGTTTTTTTGTTGTTTAATGCTGCACTCAGCAATATTCCAGGTATATGCCAGCGGTCTGTAAATAATTGACTCTGGACCAAAAAGTCCAGTGATTGACATCATGAGCGTCAATCCACGCAATTGGGATACAATGACATGCTTCAACCAAGTCAGTGAGCCTGACCACCTGATCCCGTTAGTCGCCTCTTACGACAAGCAAAGTTGCCTTTTACAGCAAGCATGGGTTCCTGAAGACCTATTCTACCCCGGATCTTTACCTGTCTCTCGCTACCGTTAAACAAAAGTCTGAGGAGATCCAAATAGATCATGTCAGACAGGTACATTTCTGAACCGAGTGGGTAGTCTTGCAAAAAAATTCCAAGACCATAGAATTGTGGAGACTGTTCAATAGATATTCAGTGACTGACCCAATGAACATGAACATGGAGTGAAGAGTGCATGTTGTTTTATGGGAACGTCAGATATTGGTCAGCTTTACCATATATCCCTGTCGATAATGCAACCCCCTGTGAAAAATTTCAAATCAATCGTCATTTATATAATGATCTTTTCTGTGAAGAACATCAACAGAGCGTTCTGAACATTTCAATAAATGTATATTTGTCTTCATTTTTTGCTTCATTGTTGCATGAAAAACTCCAGTGCATGGCGCCATTGTGTTGACACAATGCAACCTTACACAACTGCTGGCAATTAAAGTGAATAGAGGCAATGGGTTGATCTTTACTGAGACATAGGGAGATCTATGCCCTTTAATTAGATCACCAATTAACTTTGTTTTGAGTAACCAATGTTTTATTTGGTTATCTATTGACATCTTTATTCAAACTTTCCAGTACACGTCTACTACACTCGCTAATAGCCGTAAAATCAATAGGAATTGATTTGATTTTCACTGGTCAGGTATCATTTGTGTAACACATCGGGACATCTCATGTTAAGAAAATATGAAATCGTTGTTGGTTATATTTCTGTCTACATTGCAGTTTGTTTCGATGTAACCATATAAGTAGATAGTCATTTAATGGAATAATGGAGATGCATCAATGATTCCATGCATTAGACATGAAACATAACATATTCTAAACTTCTACTAGATAATAGATCACGCTCTCTATATTTCTGACTTACTGCTGCTGAAAATTGATTTATTTTGTGTTAGCTGGCAAGGCAATCTAGATCAAGGCAAGACTCATTTGAACTTTATTTGCAGAAAGTATATAGTATGAACAAGGAAGTCAGATACAGTTGGTGTTTG